GCTCAATAAAAAAAATTCGCACGATGACAATCGCTAATCAAATTGTGCACCGGCTAATTGTTCGTTGAATCGTCCGAGGAAATTGGAATGGGATGAAAATTGGAAAGCTCGCCTCGGGGGGAGGGAGTGGAAAAAAAAGTCGTTCATTCTCGCGGAACATTGTCGAAACGACGACGAACGACGACGAACGACGACGTCGACTGCGGATACTATATTAGTTTTGTAAGTTTTGTTATATACGCTTTTGGTTCAGTTGAACCTCACACACTGTACATATATACATTGAAAATGTCCTCGCTTCCGGCTTTTTGAATTCCTGAATATTCACGATACATCTCATATCAAAGTTTCATTTATCTATCGAGGGAGAGAAGATAACTTTGCTTTACAATTTTACATTCATTTGCTTCAATTGATGAATTCTGATAAACCTTACACGGGGCGGTATTTCTAATTATAAGATTCGAATTTCTGCTTTTTTGCACCAAAAGGACTTGAAATTAAGACCATATTTTGCAGATAATGATCTTAATTTGAAATCCATTTTGAAAAACTGCACACTACGTTCTTCGGAACTATTTAAAAAATAGTATATTTAATGTTGAATGGGATTACAAAGAAACGTTCATTGACACCACAATCTTATGATTCATACTGCAAACTGTCTGGTTAACGCCTACTTACTATTGCATGCGTTAACTAATTAACTCGACATGCATCTTAACGATCAAGCGCAATAAAAATAGGAGATTTTTTTTTATATCCTAAAATAAGAAGTTAGAAAAATGGTATAAGATGTTTTATAAATGATTATCTTACTTGATATCTATAAGGTGCTTTATAAATTCTTATTGATATCTCTATAAGATGCTTTATACGTTTGAACAGTTTAAATATTTCTTTCGTCATCTTAGAAAAGTAAGATACTTGAGATACTAATTTAAGAAGTTAAGGTGCTTCTAGCAAAATAAGATGTTTAGCGATAAGACATATACTTATGAATCGTAAGATGCGCCGAAAATTTAAGTGATTAAAAAGTAAGATGCATAAAGTGTTTTCCATATGTGCCCATACAGTTAACTTGAAAATTTTTTTCCTGAAAAATATGCTAAAAATGTGTAAAGCATTATTATGAAGATACCTTTAAAATCTTAAACTAACATATATTTTAATAAATAACTAGAATAGTGACTAAAAAATATCTGGAATAGTCTCTTATTTTTCAAGTGTGGATGTATATGTAGACATTATATTACTAAAAAAATAAAAATGATTATACTTTGCTACTTCCTAATGTATAATAATATTAATATCGTAATATATAATATTATAGGACAAAGCATCCTGCTATCAACAATACTCAAGAGTGAAAGATTTGATATTTAAAATTCAAATCGAAAACTATTCAATACATCCCGTGACGGCAATATAGCGATTCTCTCACATTCGGTAAAATACTCGAATTGATTTTAGAATCAACTGAATGAATAACGGATGTGTTATAGTATAGTGTTTATCAAAATGATTATTACTGTATACAAGTTATTACTGCCATTGTCTGAACAGTGCACACCGATTATACGAATGTGCATTATACAATTGCATATATAATATGAACGTAATGACAGACACGAAGGAAAATTTATTGAGATATTTCGCTTTCCTAATATATAATAAAATTATTTGCAGCAAGCTTGACGTAAGCTTGCGGATCTTTAGGATCAGAGAAAAAGTGCGGAAATTTATCTGGAAAAGTTAGAGTTTCTTAACTGGAACAGTTAAGGAAAAACAAAATAAAATGTTTGTGGCAACTCTGTAGTTGTAAAAATAGCAATAATAACAATAACAGAAACAAGAATATAGTAGAAATAATAACTGAATGAATTATATTTCTAAAATTAGATGCACTTTTGATATTTGCACGAATTGAAATTTATTATCCCCGCGTGTGGATTTCTTTCATGTTTAAGACCCGAAAGGAAACGTATGACGGGTTTTTTTGGAGCGATTCGTCATTCATCACGTTCCAACGCGTGCCAATGAGTGCCGCATGTATATCCTCACCATAGGGATTAAATGTACGTACAGTGTATACAGGGAATATAAAAAAGAAACTCGTCCCCTTACGTCATGTATATATATATATATGTATATATACAGGGAATAAAAAATCCTAACTGTGGCTCGCTGTGGCTCGATGTCCTCTTTCATATAGAAAGCCTGGGGTTCTTTTCACATTAGGTATAGTGTATTTGCCCATTTCTTTTTTTTTCTTCTTCTTCGCATAAAATAAAGAAGAGTCAAAGATGTGTGTATAAAGGTGGGGCGTAAAACGATAATTGCCTGGTTAACCAATACAAACAAAACAAATTCAAACTTATAAATTTTACCAGCCTTTTTCTACATATTTTATTATTTATACTTTTCTATTTATTTTAGGAGACATTTTTCTTGTTCAATACTTTTCTGTACTCGTCCTTTGTCTCTCATTCTTTTTAGATGCTTTCTTTTCTTTCTTTATATATGTACACATACTCGTAATTTCACGCGCCACATGACCTCAAAGTCTTACATACCGGACGTGGTGTGGTAGTGCCACCGATTTCGCACGTGTCTGTTTTTCTCTCACTTCCTATTCGCGGTTCTTCTTTTACCGCTTTCCCAAAGCTATATGGCGATTTATTTTTATCGTAAAAGAGAAATTGCTTTTCTCGACGCAAAATATATAAGAGGGAGAAGCAGGAGAAGAAAGAGAGAGAGAGAGAGAGGCCGGAAGAACGGTTCTCGCAAGATTTACTCTTTAGAACACGTCCGACAGTCCACGAAAGACGACATTGGCGACATTAGTGTGAAACTTGCATCGATTCATTTTTATATTTCTCACTCACTCTTTCTTTCTTAAAAAAATGTGTTGGACCAATTTTGGAGGAACATAGTCGGGGTTGGACCACCGTTTGAACTTTGTTTTAAAAAAATGTAGTCAAGGTTGGACCTTATAGTCAGGGTTGGACCTTATCTGAATGTATATATTTATTTATAAATTTATAAAATATAGTTAAAGGGGGTTGAATAACTTGGGAGTCACTAACAAAAGCTTCGTAGGCTTAGATGGCGCTAGTGTTCTTATTTAAAAAATAGCAGGGGTCCAACCCTGACTGTTCACCCAGTTTCTCGTTTACAATATGAAAAAAAGCGTTGGAAATAGGATCAAACAATTCGTAAAACTATCCATTTAACGATTTAACCGTTGGGATAAAATAGGCTCCCAAGGTCAGCAATAACGATTTTTTACTACAAAAAAAGAGTTGGACTGACTTTACGAGTTCTCATTAATACAGGTTCGTCAAGTAGAAAAAGAAAAAGGTTTCACTGTGTTATAAATTAGATTCAAAATCGAATTCTCTTTCACTAAGCTATCAATTTCTCTATGGTAAAAGAATAAATTTGATTTAACGTCAATGATGAGAATTGCAGTTTTTTTGACGAGTTGGTTCATTATCGTCATATATAATCATCAATTATAGGGTAGTTATAAAATATTATCGTCGACAAAGTGTCACGTCATATTTTATAATGTCAATAATTATAAATGAAATCTTTTAATCCTTATATTAAATAAATATTTGTTTTACGTTTCATTCTTGACTATAATGTAAATAAACAACAGACTGCGTGCGATTTCTAGGTCTCGAGAAAGTGGCGCCTCTACTGGCTAGGAATAATTGAGCGAACATGTTATTGTAAAGTCACAGAGGCAGATCTAGATTCATTGATTTGTGGTGTCGAATTGTAAAGTAAACTTATTTTCTCCATTATAGGCCTACACATTTTCTTTAAGGATATGAAATTGAGACAAGAAAACGAATCAAAATGTTAGGCCTATTAAATATTCAACATTTAAATAATATTCGTTATTGTTTAATAATTAATAGACTGAATTGCTTATTGCTCCCTCCATGTGACTGTCAATCACGAACTAGAATATAAAGATTAGAATCGCCATAAATTTATTTGACCCCATAAAGGGGGATTCACGCAAGTTAAAGTGTTTTTCTTTTCCCTCACGACTCGAGCGCCCTTTTCTTCTAGGTGGGGGGAGGGAGCGAAATAGAAAAAGATTTCTATCCTTTCCCTATTTATTATTATCGTCATAAGGAGTTTCAATATAAAAGAGAAAAATATACAAATATCATCCATCTCTTTCTATCTCAAGTAAAAGTTTTCGATTTTATTGCTCATTCGCCTAATCTGCTTAAACCTATTAAAACTCGAAGGAGAATAGATTCTTAATTAGAAACGTAAATGGAAATGCAATCGTAAACGTAAAAGAAGAACGAACTATCTCTATCCTTCTTTAACTCTCATTCTAACGATTGCAATTTCGATTAAAAATCAATTATCCACTTGTCTCGGCGATTAATATTGGTATTACCAATAAATATATTTATATAAAAATTCATCAAAAAATTCAAATGTGACGCGCTCTCATTATTATCTATTACGAATTAGAGGTTATATTTGGGTTAAATTTATCTTAATTGAAAGTTAATTTTTAATTATGTAGACTTGAAAACAGTTTCTATTGAATATTATGGATGTAATGAAGACTTGACGGTCAATCATTTTTAATAGTAATTGATTCTCTTTCGGTATTTTTACTATACGCAAATTATAAGCATAACCTCAAATTCTTTGATTTTCATCTTGAGAGCGCGTCACAAACTCGTATATAAAATGTAGAAATTATAATTAACTAGCAAGAAATGTTGCGGCAATATTGTAGAAAATTTCTTTTTTACGCAAACACGTTTATATATTATGTTGAAATAAAGAAATTTTGACGAATTTTTAAAATTGATATTAGGCGAAAATAACGTGAAATTAAGATAATATTTTTGTAGAACTAATTTAATATTGTTGGCAACATTGCCAACTTTGCCGCAACATTCAGTTGTTATGTAAGAGAAAAATATTATAGATTATGTAAAAAAATTACTCACGGCAGCGGCTGGAAGTCTCGCCGGCGTGGGGTACATTTTAATTGTTTCAATAAAATCACTTCATGATTAAATTTTGATAAAGAATTTCCGGATCCATCCTTCTTCACTTCTTTTTGGCCGAAAAAAAATCACGGTCGATTCGTGCTCCTTCAGTATTAACTTTTTTTCCTCTCTCTCTTCCTGTATGTATATATGTTTCAAATTCACACCAACATTTAAAACGTGACGGTACTCCACTCACACGTGAGAGTCCACCACTCCTTTATATTTAACCTCGAGAATACTCCTCTTCGTTATTTTTTCTCCTTTTCTTTTCTTTTTTCTCTTCTTTATCTCCTCCTCTCTCCCCCTTTCTCTCTTCTTTATATTCTTTTCTCTGTTTCAGCCTCTTTCACAAAACTTAAACTCACTATGTGTATCCTTCGAGAAACCCCTCCTCCCTCCTCTTCTCTCTCGTTTTCCCCAAAAAGTTACGACGGCATTCCGACAAGTTCGTGTATCGGAGACAAAGGCATTCTAAAAACGATCGTTTTCTTGACCACCCTGATATTACATAATCGACTACATTATATCCAGTCTAATGTCGACCACAACAGGTTTCTTATATTACAAGAAGAAGAAGAAGAACAAAAATCTTTCGACAAAGTTTCTTACAATCACTTTCTTTTTCTTTTTCTCTTTTTTTTTTTTATTATTACAGTGAATCTTCACCCCTTTATATAATAAAATTCTCTGGAAAAAAGAGAGAAAAAAAACTTGAAAAAGTCGCTTTTTATCCAAACCCCTTCAATTTTTTTTTACTCATAGTTCACCAAAGTTTTCAACTCGTAAACTCCCCCTACCGTCGTGCCAAAGCCGTTAAATTTCTTATCTACTGTATGTATTTACACAATTGTAGCTACTTCTATACGATAAATTGCGAAAGAGACGTGTACGCAAAGAAAATATTTCTATAGGTGCAACAATTTTTTTTAACCAGCTGAATCGTTTTTATTTTTTACAATAGTTCTCAAGAATAGATCTTATTCTTGTTTTAATCGAGTTAAAATGTTTTTTTGGGTTCTATTCCAGCGATAGAATTGTGATAAAGAGTAAAAGAAATACAAGAAATCGATTTTTATGTAATAATTAGATTAAAAACAATATAAATAATTAGATTAAAATAGGATTATCGGGAAGAAGCTTATCTCGACATAAAATACGTATTATTTCAACAAGGCTTTTCTTATACACGATAAATTATTCCATACATACAACAGTCATATCACTAATTACCATTGAGGCAATGAGTCAAATGTTTTTAAAAAATTACGTCAATTATTTTTCCCTTTTTTATTTTCTCCCTCCCTTTCTATATAGAGGCAAACAAAATTCCATCCCTCTACAGTGACACAATTCAGTGATTTACTAAAAATTCGCATTTTGAAAGTAAATACCAGCGCGCACTAAGTGCATAAATGTTAAACGCATAGTCGTGTGAATGAGAGTTTACGAGGTAACCTATCGATTTATCCTTCGATTTACGATCGCATAAAATCGTTCTTTTCACCCCGAAAGAACACGGTCCTAACTCGAAGAATTAAAAAAAAAAAAGAAAAAAAAATTACTCCACATCGAGGTATAAATAGTAAAAAGCTGTAATATACAGAACAAACAAAATAGATGAAACATTTTTTATCAATAAGAGAAGAAAAAAGAATAGAAATCAGAGTCCGTTTTTGAATAGAAAAATCTATGAATTGGGATATATATGAATTTTACTTTCAGCTAATATCTATGATAATAAGAGGGTTTCAAGGAAGAATAATTTAATTCGGATTACATCAGTATAATAGCACCCCTCGACGATTGATTTTCAAAACGATCCTAAAGTGCTGTTTATAATATTAATGCAACGCTCCCCCTCTGTTGTTCTGACGGTCTCGTTTACTTTCCAATGAGGTAGAATCTCCACTCTTGGCGGACTCTTTAACTCATTTACCCTCGACGAGGGGTTCAGTTTCGTCATCTCCATTAACGTTTTTCCTTTTCTTTCCTTTTTTTCGCCCCCTCTCAATTCTCTTCTTCTCTTTTTTCTCAGACTGATTTGCCATAAAAAAATTATTTTTTTCCCTTTCTCCAGATAATCACTACATATATATATACACAGTGAGCATATATATATATTTGACAAAAATTGCTTAACAATCAAAATTCAAGATGAGCTGCGATAAATAGCGTGAGAATGTCTGCTACAAATTTACGACGATGAAACGTTTACAAAATCGATATCGTGCACGAGCGTCAAGACAACAACCTATATACTTTCGCAGTTCTGCGCACAAACTTATTTTACCCTTTCCTTTGTATTTCCTGCTGGGACATGAAAGATTCTTATCCAAACGCTATATCTATATATATACACACATATATATATACATATAAATTCAGAAAAAAGAAAAAAATTGTCTTAAAAGAACTTCTATTCCGCGTACTGTTTTCAGAGAAAATTGTTATAATGCAAAAAAGTTTCTCAAATTTTTGTCTTTTTCATCCAAAGAAAGATTCGTAACTTTCTCTATTTTCTCCAATCCTCTAATTAATTTATAATAATTACAAAACGTCAGTAAATAATAAACGATTGTCGATTTCGATAATTTCTTATAATTTCCCAACAATTTCTAGTTGCGAATATGAAAATAATTTTTGACTTAAAGAATAAAAGTTGAATTTCACTTGTTAGCTTTACTAATTAATTTCAATGAGTACGAACCGCGAGGTAGAAGTGAAAATACTAATTCAAAAATAATCGAGCGTGAGCGTAACGATCGAAAAGTATACATATATATATTTCTTATTTATTCACAGTTACAGCATTAATGTACTCTTCCACATATGCGACTACACAAAAATAAACAATCATAAAGTGACATTACCAATCAAATAAAAATTTTTTAAATTACAAGCAAAAAGTTAAAAATTTTCTTAAATTTTAATTAAGAAAATAAATATTGATAAAATACCGAAAGAAATAAAAATGTTACTGTTAATAATATTATATTACCACTATTGTAAAAGTGATAATATAATATTATTAACAGAAAAAAAGTCACGCATCTAATAATTAAAATTTTTGATAAATTTTAATGACAAATTAATTAAATTTAATTTTAAATAAAAATCAAATTTCGATATAAATTTTTGTCGATTTAGTCAAGTGTGTTATGATTAAAAAAGAATATTCGAAATCAACGCTAAAGACTACTATATTTATATCGGAAACAAATTACTAACTCTCGATATAAGTTAGCGTCGGCGGCAAGTTAAGTAATAAAGTAACAAGTGTCTGACTAAAAAACAAAATTTAACTTTTCCACTGTACTGCAAATTTAATGCAAATCAAATTTCTAAACAATTTATGAACTTATTTCTTAATTAATAATTAATAATTAATAATTAATAATTAATAATTAATAATTAATAATGTTTCTAATTTTTATTTACGGAAATAATTTATCTTTAAAAGCAAATTAACAATTGATAATGAATTAATAATTAAGGGTCAATAATTATGAATTAATAATTAAGAGTCAGTAATTAGGAATTAATAATTAAGAATCCACAATTAATAATTATAAATTAATAAACAGGTAATAATTAAGATTCAATAATTAAAAATTAACAATTAAGAATCAATAATTATTAACTAAGAATTAACAATTAATAATTAAGATTAAAAAATTAAAAATTAACAATAAAGAATCAATAATTCTTAACTAAGAATCAACAATTAATAATTAAAAATTAATAATTAATAATTGATAATCAATAATTTATAATTAAGAATCAATAACTAATAATTAATAATTAATATACTAAAACTTTTAAAATTGAAATCCGAAAAAGAGAAATTTCCAAATAAATAAATCATTTTTAGTGAGCGCTAATTTTTATAGACTCAATTTTTCTCGGTAATTTTCCCTCCAATTCTGAATTTCAATTGCATTATAAATGCGAAAAGAAAATCATTAGCAAGAAACAAATAGTCCCTCTATATATATATATGTGTGTATATAAAAAATCGTATTATCACGCCCCAAGGATCGTTTGCGCTTAGTTATTTAGTTGCCGCCTACGAACTCTCACCCTCCTGTTATTTCTCTCCCTTGACTCACTCACTCACTCTCTCTTTCTCTCTCTCTCCTCGATCCTTTCGCAGCTTCGTAACTGAGAATTAATAAAAAAAGAAAGAAGGCAAAAAAGCGGAGAATAATAATAAATCAATGAAAATAATAAAAGTGAGATTCTCTACGGTTTGTCGATGTCCATTGTCTCGATGATTTAACGAGGTGAGTATGTCGATTTGCGATTATGCTCTTAACTTCCTCCCACATTATATTCCAAACTGTAATTTCATATTTTACTGGCGAAAATCGTCTTATTTCAATTAACACTCACGAAAGTTTTTATTATAACCTATCTGTATAGTATTATTAGTATATAGCACTATAATGTTTATAACACTGTAATATTTATGATATGCAAGTAATCCATCTATTACTTAATAATCCACCCGGTAGTGCTATATAATATTATTTACCTATTAATACAAAATAATATACGAAATATCACATACTGTATAGTAATAATATCCCTAATTACCTCCATTATATCATAAAAATTATTTAAAATAAAAAAAAAAAAAAAAACCCAATTGAAAAGTTCTTAGTTGTTTCGAAAGGACGTAATTGCAAAAGAAAATTAAATCATTTCGCGAAATGTTACTCCACTGATAGTAAATTTTACAATATTCGTCTCTTGAACAGAAAAGGTTCTTAGTTAAAAAGCCAATAGTATTGTCACATTCTAGATTACTGAATAATTTACGGATCCAAGTCAAATACACTTTGTCGAAATGCCAGAAGGAAAAAACCAATCATAATTATCATTAGAAGTAGTGTTTTGATGACAATTGACGTATTGTTCCAACAATTTATTACCCTTTCGCAATCCATTATTCTTTAATAATGATTATAAGCAAATAATAGTAAATTGCTAATTAAGAATTATGTGATAGCTAGTTAAGAACGTTTAGATCTTAATAATTTGGAATTTATTCTACGTCATCTAAATTCTTATTTTCTCCCATATGAGAGCACTGACATTTCATCTGAAAATCAATTCAAACTTTATGACCTATTCATATTCAATAGTTTAATGATGATGGTCAATGATGGTTTAAGAAATCGCTAAACCGACATAAAAGAAGTGGTCTACCCTAAAGACCCAAACACCTTTCTACCTTTTTCCTTCTACCTGTTATTACAGAAGTGATCGTAAATTAATTTTCTTAACACAATTTTTCATTTATCTTTTCTAATTATAAATTCTTTTTCAAAAAATTTAAATTGTCAGTTAATATCTCTGACTGATTCACTGAAATTTTGAAAGTATATTTTCGCTAGTTATCAGCTGAGGATTGTAAAGACGTTCCCTTTTTTTTTTTTTTTTGAAAGAAAAATAAAGGGTGCTTAAAATATGTTTTTTAGCTTTGGCATGACAGCTTTAACCCTCTCGTAAATTTTTAATTTAACTCACGAGGTCACACAAGTAAATTGACAGCAATTAGGTGTAATTTTTGACACACAATCACAAACACATAAACACCTGTCTGGAATTTTAGTGTCAATGGAAAAAAAATTGTTATAACAAAGGTAATGATTTATTTATTATTATTATTTTTCATACGGGGTTTTTTTGTTTTTTATTGGAATCGCGTGATAACAACCACCCCGGGCGAAGAACGACGCTCGACTGAGGACCCGGTTTCGAAGTGGATGACGGGAAACGTGTGAACGCCGCTTGCCGCCGCGGCCAATACCAATGAGAGAGCACCTATACTAACGTAACAACATCCACCGACTATACCATTGAGCGCAACGAATACACATACTCGCGGGGCGCAACGGGTGTCTCGCTTTTTCTTCTTCTTCTTCTTCTTCTTCATTCTCTTCACCCCACAATTGTCTCTCATACCATCTTTCTTCATCTTTCTTTCTCACTCTCTTTTTCTTGGTTTCACTTGTTTCTCATAGTGTTTTAAGTCAAGGGCGCCTGAACACAGGGACCACTAAGGTAGAATAGCAAAAAAAAAAAAAGTTCCAATATCTTTTTTCAAAATTAGATTTATAAAAATGAGAGAAGAAAGAGGGAGAGAGTTATGTCATTAATTCACACCTTTCTACACTATCACAAAAATAAATCATTGCTCGCATGTAATTAGAATTAATAACCCTCGATTTAATTTTGAATTCGTAAAAACTAAATAAGAAATTTACCATTTGCTCCAAAAACTCGAATTCAAAAACAGAATTGTTTGCTATACCGCGTTAAATACCATTCTATTTTTATTAGAACTCGTAATTATATGTGATGTGATACGAAGAGACCGATCTACAAAGAAAAAGCTTATTGGTTATGTTACCCGGTAAGAAGAGGTTGATTAAAATAGATTAAAATGTATACAAATATCGCTAAATTCTGAATCATTTCAATGCCAAACTTATGTCATTTTTGAAGTTCCATGTTTTAATTCCTTTAAAGATAATTCATCTGCACACATTTGTATTCTATTTAATTCGATATGCATTTTACTTCTTATTGGGTAATTAGAATTGAAAACAATTTAATTCTGTTTAATACCATAAAATTTGTAATCATTAGAATTCCATTTATAACTTAAATATTGCTGACACTTTAAGGGTTCATACCACTTTACACGCTTGAAAATGAAGCTATTTTCTAGAATTTTTTTTACGATTCCTATGGATTATATTGATCTGCATTTTTTCAGTTCAATAAATACACTCTTTAACTTTATAAAAAACCTTATTTTATTTAAAAAATATTATTTGTTTATTTAAAATTTAACAATAATTTTAGACCTGCTAAAAATATCGATGCCAGCTGCGGGATTGATTTCTCAGGTTAGAAAAATCTAAAACACAAAATTCAAATTGATTTATCTTCACTAGGACTGTGCCTATCGCCCGAACTAGAATTTTTAATTTTTATGCAAAATAGCAAAATGGAGGCAATTTAAAATTTTTTTTTCGAAAATATTAAAGTTTTTTTTTGCAGTTTTTCGGTTTAAAAAAATAGTAAAAATGAATATTTTTAAATAATTCTAGTTCCGGCGATACCCACTCATGTGACGAAGATTTTCGTAAAAAAAATTTGAGAATCGGTCCAGTAGTTTCCGAGAAAACCATCCCGCAGCATGGAAAAATATGGTTTTGAGAAAAACGCGTTTAAAGTTTTTGTTTTATACTTACATAGCCGTGTACGCGCTCAAATAGCATTGAAAAAATATATTTTAAGTGCTGGGATCTTTCTAAAAATTTTACACCACATTTTTGACATATTTCACTTTCGAAATCCATAATAAAAAAATTTTTGCTTTTTTGAAGATGACAAAGTGGTATGTACCCTTAATTCATTTTAATGAAAAGGTAATAAAATGCATTAAAATGACGCATATATGGTCAAAATTCACTTTTCTTTAAATGCCAAACCACCCGTGCAGAAATCGCCACTTTTGTTCCCGATTACCGCCCTGGCCCCGGTCGGGATTTCATGATCTGGCCCCGACTTCGTGGCCCCGACCAGGACCAGACCGGGTTTGCCCAAGGATCTACAAACAGCGCACAATGGGATTTTTTTTACAATTTACTGTTCAAAACTGTCTACAGCCTACAATTCTTAACCGGTTTCAGTATTCTTTATTTTAAATTAAAGGCGAATAAATTCTTAAGACATCCCTTAAGGTCAATTTTTTAGTTCTTAATTGTTTATAATTTTTATTTTCAATCAAAGTTAACAAATTAATACAATTTTTCAAAAAAGGAGGCTTATTTTCTTATTCCGTTGCTGCATATGATCTGAATCAGTTCAAATTAATACAATATGACCACCATATAATTAATAAAACAGAAAGTAATTTATATCAATTGTTATAAACAATATTAATTAACAAATAGTTAACTTTGATTTCTTTCCACTAAAAAATGTTTTTTTTACCTTTTCTTTTTAATTTAAGTTCATTTAAAGAATATTTGCCCTTTTTGATTATAAAATAACTTATTTAAATTGTTATAAACAATATTAATTAACAAATAGTTAACATTGATTCCTATTCCACTAAAAATTTTTTTTTCACATTTTCTTTTTAATTTAAGTCTATTTAAAGAATATTTGTCCTTTTTGATTAAAAAATAACTTATTTAAATTGTTATAAACAATATATTAAATAACAAATAGTTATGTAACTTATGCTCCTGTCCACCAAAAAAATTTTTTTTCACGTCTACTTTTTAATTTAAGTTCATTTTAAAAATATGTGTCCTTTTTGTTTAAAAAATAACTTATTTAAATGGTTACAAATAATATTAATTAACAAATAGTTAATTTTTGTTCCTTTCCACCAAAAATTTTTTTTTCACGTTTACTTTTTTATTTAGATAATGTTAAAAGACCACGGATATATAATATTAAATATTTAAATAAGTTATATTATAAGCAAAAAAGACATATATTCTTTAAAAGAACCTAAGTAAAAAAGAAAATTTGCAACAAAAATTTTCTGTTGGACAGGATCATAAGTTAACTATTTGTTAATTAATGTTGTTTATGACAATTGAAATATATTACTTTATGGGTTTTTAATTGTCTGCTGGTAATATTGGATTAATTTGAACTGATTTAGAGCATGTGCAGTAACGGAATAAGAAAATAAACGTCCGTTTTTAAAAAATTGTGTTAATTTGTTAACTTTGATTGAAATTTGAAAATAAAAATTATAAACAATTAAAAACTCAAAAATTGTCCTCGAGGGATGTCTTAAGAATTTATTCTCCTTTAATTTAAAACAATAGGACAAACGCACCAATTGTCGAAGGTGAACCATTTGTCGATGTTATCATGGTGATAACCAAAAATATTGCCTAAAATGTTAAATTTTTTTGTGGTTATAATATTAACATATTATTTTTGACATTTATAACTCTTAAAAACTCTTAATTGTTTTTCACACTTAAATTGAAATTCCATGTTTAAGGCAAAAAAATAAATTATTATTAATTAATAATTTTTAGTATTATTGTGAATTATTAATAATGAAAAAATTTTTATTATTTTAAAAAATAGTTAAATTATAAATAATATAGAATAAATAATTAAATTAATAATTTTTACCATATTATTATGATAAACATATTAATTTATATATATATATATATATATATATATATATATATATATATATATATATATATATAACATACATTTTTAATAATTTTTCTATAAATAAATATGATACAGTCAATTTATTATGATAACACTGTATATAACGGTCCCATGATTCAAAAGGAAGTTTAAGCGAGGTCGCTTCCAAGCTTGCGTGGCTATGCGGTATGTGTATTCGACTTGCGTCCTCGAGGTCTAGGGTTCGGTCCCCCGTGCGTGCGATATTTTTCCGTCTTAGTTTTAAGTGTTTTGTGTATAATTCTTAATAATGTTACATAAAGTATAGGTTTAAATAATTATTAACAATAATAATAATTATAAATAATTATTAATTTAAATAAGATAGTCTGTCTAAATTAATGAAAGAAAATAAGAAAAATATTTTTTTTAAAAACTTAGTCCAATAAAAGCAATTCTAATAACTATTTACATTTTTAATGACACTCATAAAAGTTTATTTACTACAAAAATATTAATAATAATTATTAATATTGAAGTAAATACTCCCCATTCTTTAATAATCAAATAACAAGCTTTAATATAATAAAATGCAGTCAGTATTGGAATTCTACCTGGGTAGCGAAAAGATCGGGGGAAATCCCATGGCCCCGACCGGGTCCCGACAGGGCGGCCAGATCGGGCAAAGTGCCATGGCCCCGGTCAAAATTTCTGCACGGGCAATGTTATTTTTGAAATTTTGTGTAAACATTTTAATCTGTTTTAATCAACCTCTTCTTACCGGGTAAGTTTCTCTTTTAAGTTTTAAATATTTAGTTAAAAATTCTAGAAAATAATAATTGAACTGAAATGAATGAATCCCGTAAAAGTCCGTAACTTTGCTTCAAGTCTGTAAAAGTCCGTGTTTTTGAAAAAAGGTTCGTAAAGTCCGTAATTTCATTTAATATGGATGAAAAGTTCGTAAATTCTACGATATATGTATTAGGACTCATTTCCCCTCCCCTCGAAAAATATATGTAAAATATGTAGGTCCAGTACGACAGACATCGACAATTTTTTTTCTCTTGTGTGTCTGAATTGATTTCATAAAAGCTCAGAAATTCACCTATAGAAAGATTTGGTACTATCGACCACTCTCTTGCAAAAAAAATTAATACTCACCTATTACGTGCGGTAAAAAATTGTCGAGTTGTCCTAGTCCTCCTCCTTAGCCATATTTTCTTTGGTCTCGCCTGCAACAAAAATACAATAAAAGTATTACATATAATTAATTTTACACAAATATACTAATAGTTATAAATAATTTACAATCCAATTGAAAAATAATTAAACCATAAAACTTTTATACATATTCCAAATTAATATGATCACACAAAAAATCCTATTTGACGAACCGTATTTTTAATGATTTTAATTTACGAACAATTTAACAAAAAAAGAGATCGTGAAATAATTAAAGAGCTCGACTACAGCATATATACACGTAGGTACGCCAAATTATACAAACATGCGTGTATTTCTCATTTTATTTTCCGATTCAACACATTCTTTCGTATCCCTCATTTTTTCCTCTTGTAAATAATTGTGATTCACACTCATTCTTCGTGAATATAATGTCGATTCTTTTTTTTTTTTTGCACCCTTAAGTGAAGTGTATCTATATATACCACATTTGAGTTTACGTATATTTATAAAAAGTTTACATACACACGTGCATATTATCCCTTTCGCTTGTTGATGCATGCAGCATGAATGTAGGCACATTTCGAGACTGAAAACTATAATCACTCAAGGCGTGATGAAATTCCAGTTGAGTTGAATCTTCAAGTAAAATCCATACTCTCTCCACTCCTCTTTGAGTTCGGTTGAATAAAAAGGAGAAAATGATTCTACTTTTTTTTACGTTTTGTTTTATTACACTTGAATGTAGAAGTTGGAGAGAAGGGGTGAAGAAAACTTGAAAACCACATGTATATTTAGTTATTAATTATCGTTCTCTCAATCAAATAATAAATTTGCTGTAAATTTCGTTCATTATTTTTTTTTGCTTTTTATTCTGATTCTTAAATTCTATTTGGGTATACAACTACACATTTTGAGAAAAATCTAAACAAAGAACATACTTTTTTCAAGTTTAGAAAGTATAATCCTTTTTACAATTTTTCTCGACGGGATAAAAGAATTTTGTTGTATTATATTTTTTCATTTACTCGTCCCACCATGTGTTAGCCAGGTATAGTGACTGGCATTTTATGTCTCATAAGGTTAAAGTCTGCGAAAAGACTTATATTATAAAAACGTCAAGTTGTACCGAAAAATTTCCTTTTAGTCGTAAATAAAAAAAAAAATCACAGTCAATTCTTTTTTTTTTCATAGAAAAAGTATGTGGCACTCTCTATTTGTTTCGTATTTCCATATGTTTGTATCTCATAAACGAAATTTAAAAAAATGAAAAGACGTTACAAAAACTTTTTTTTTTCTAAATTTAGATAAATTAGAAATGTAATTTAGGGGTTCGTAAACTACGTATAGCACAATTTTTGGAAATTATACCCCAATGGCACTTTTATATACATTAGCGTAATTTTTTTCAGCTGGTCGTAGAAAATTACTTGTGTGATATCCCACCCCTGGTTGTTGGACCAGGGGTGGGGGGACCTATATGTATTAAAATGATTAAAGAGGTAAAACAGTAAGAAGCAAATGACATTAATAGAATATTTACAGAAAAAAATTGAAATGAATATTTTCCAATGTTTTTTGAAAATTTCTAAAAATTTTTGGAAAAACAAATCAAAGTCACATATTATAGACGAGTTCTTTGTTCGTGTACGAGAAATTCGAACGAGTTCAAGTTGAAAGCTTCGCGTATATATTCGCGAGAGTGTGTCACTTCTAACGCATTAAAGTCCCTGCGTCGGAAGTGAAGTGGCGAGCGTCTCATCCCCCTATTTTTTTCACCCCTCTTCCATTTTACTTGATGGGCCAAAGTTACATTTTCTCTGCTTTTCTTTTATATATCCCTTTGTTTCATTACACACTCATTTATTTAAAAAAAATTCTCCCAATTTACCATTTTTCTTCAAAAAAAAAAAAAAAAAAAAAAAATTTTATAATACAAAAGTATAAAATCGAAATTTTTACAAAATATTACAAAATTTAAATGTGGGTAAGAATTATTCGTTTCCAGTAAATATCTAATTGATAGTAGTATCAATTAATTGATTATTTAAATGAAATAAATTTCTTTTCAGTGTAGAACTGCTTTGATAGTCAATGTAACGATTTTTTAAATTTTAATTTCTTCAAAAGTTGGAACCGATAAAATTACAATCTGTGAAAATTAGTTTTAAATTGAGGTCGGTTTGGGATAACGATTTCTGGAAAATAAATAAAAATCAGTATTTAAACTTACATCCAAGAGACTAAATTCTAATTTCTGTTTACTTTGAAGATTTCCAGAAAAGTAATTTATTGGGAGCACTTGCAGAAACAATATTTTGTTATTGTATAAAAGACAAAAGAATAATAATGTTAAATTTTGAGGACAGACCTAAAACCGAAAAAAAAAGTTTGCGATTCCCAAGAGGCAAGATTAAGGTATAATCCGTTTTAATGACCGCTACCAGTTCAAGTGGGTTGAATATTTATGTGTTCGAAAACATTGAGCGTTTGCAATATTATGGTTCCAATACAAAACTATTTATGAAAAGCGACAAAATAATTTTTCGAATACAACTACTTTTTTCCACCTTTTTTTTGTCATTTTGTCTGATTTTTGGGAAACGTGAGGAACACTGGTCTTACCGGCTTAAGAAGTTTTTCAAGTTTATGATACGTTTATACAAGAAAAAAAGGGAATTTCCACATCGTAAATTATTTTCTCTATATATAATGCAATAAAATTTAAAACTCGAAATTAGACATCTGTATTATAAAGGGTAAAAAAAATGTCCAATTTTTTTTTCAATAACATTCTTGACTTCTAATATTTTCATTATATATAAAAATAAACACATTTTTTTTAATAAAAAATTTATTAAAACGAAAAAATTAATAATAAAATATAAACTTTTTATTTATTCTCTATTAGTTATATAGATATGTTAATATTAAAGAAAATAAAGAAAACTAAAAATTGATGATGGTATAAATAATGAAAAAAACTTATCGTTTTTCAAAAAAAGGATATTAATTTTTCTTTCGTAATAACAAAAGACAAACAAAAAATTGTGATTGCTTTTTTTCTGGTTATGAATAATTTTTACAAATATATCAAACAGAAAAGATTTACGTTTAAAATTTGAAAAAGGAAATACGATCAAGTGAAATTAAATTAACAGTCGTCATTCTTTTCGAACTATATACTTTTAATATAATATATATAAATATATATATGAATTTTCTAATATTGTAATTGAGAATTAGACTTTAATTTCAAAGAAAATTGGTTACAAATTAAATTAGAAATAAAGTAAGTAAATAACATGAAATTTACCTCATTTTTTTCTCATTTATTTTTATTTATTTGTTATAATTTTCCATTTCTTTTTTAATAAAAAATTATCAGAAAAACCGTTAATAAAATAGTACAATATTTCAATTATTCCTTCTCACTATTTCATTAATTTTTGCTAGAAAAATATATTTTAATATTGTTATACTTTTATAATTATTATATTTTTAATAATGAGATGTTGTTAATTCTACCCTTTACGATCTGCCTCAATTTTTTTCTGCCCTTTCGTCCTTACAATTCAATTTATTTCTTCAAATTTATCAAACCCAGTAAACTCCTGTATACTCACCCCTTAAATTTCTCTACTATTTAAGTGATAATAACCCATATAAAATCTTATCACACATTTTCCTAATGACAGTATCAATAATAAATTGTGACTTTTAAAGATAAGATTTCTATCTTAAATGAAAGTTTGTTTAATTCTGTTTACAAAACCCTTAGGGTGTCTAATATTTTATACAAAGTTCGAAAAATTTTGATTTGGTATATTTGGTCAAACTTTTCATCAACAAATTTGAAAATTAGGAATAATTTTAATTAATTTGGTTTAAAATTTAAAAGTTCGCATTCATGTAAAATTCTTATTGCTTGTGGTTACTTTGAATAATTCAGTAACCGCAAGTGATGACTGAATTATCGCAGTTTCGATAATAAATTGAAGAATATAGTTTGATCTTATTTCTAAAGATAAAAAATAATTTAAATATAATCCACGTTACTTTGTTTTATAATTACACAATTTTATGTACAATTACTTTAGAAACAAATAAATTTAGTTAAAAATTCTACTAACTTGACGGTTTACGCAATTACGTATTGACATGACACTAAAGCACTTTTCTTACAAAGGGGAGTTAAGTGGCGCCACCATAAATTGAGTTTTGCGGGCAAACTAAGAGCAGATTAATTTTAGAAGGCAGATCGAGGGTAATAAACAAAACAAGAAAATAAATAGATAACTAAACTGAAAAAAGAAAAAGGAGTAAAAACTAAATCGACCTAGAATAGAATATATATTGTGAATTGGTTACTAATTACTAATTAATAGAATTTTAAACAAAACAAAAAAAATGATGATACCACATGGTCACATATCGTTCGATTACAGCAAGTGGTTCACTCTCGCGTCGACTCTCCGTTCTACATTATCGACAATATATTGTCCGGCGGGAAAAGGGGATTCATGTAAAACAAAAAACCGACCGAGTTATCAAAAATTATCAAAAAGAAAAAAAAGAAAAGAAAGAAGTAGAACAAAAAAAAGACGATATTTTCAACCACTGATTAAGAAGGAGACCTACGGCTGGGCAGAAAATTTCTCAACAACGCAGGCGCTTTTCCAAAGGAGCAAAACAAGACGCAAGTAGGTAAAGACGTGGAAAACGCCCACAACAACACAGACACAAATACCATTGATCCAGTCCAGACTTATTTCAGTTTCCGCAAAGTTGCCGTGGAGTAAGGATTGGTGGCGTTTCTGGCGGTCAATTCTCTCTCATGCAAAATATTTAAGCTTCTAAAGTTTCAATCTGTCGAGGACAGAATTTATTATTGTCGAGGACAAGTATTTATTTTTAAAGAGAAAAAAAGTGTGTTTTCTTTTAGATAATCGACGAAAAATTGGAAAATCTTTTTTCCTTTTTTATTCAACAAGTAATAAGTGACTTATCGTTGATTCATTACATTCATTACCTGTCGCTGTCGGAAAGGGAATAGGTTAGGTGTGAGAGGAAGAGAAAAAAAAAACAAAAACCAATCTCTTGGCAGCATTGCCACAAAGGAATAAATATTACCCAGACAAAAGTTGCACACGAGTATTCTCTCATGTTGTTGGGTTGACTGACTCATATTATGAAAAGATGGATCTACCAACTATAGTTTATAACTCGGCGAGGGACGGTAGAAGAAGACGACTCGAGGTGAGTTTTTATTTTTCCACAAAACTAGCACTTTAAATTTTTGACAATATGACAATGGAATTCGGGAAATTTAGAAAATTATCCCCCCTCTCTCTAATATAATACTGTGATTTTTATTTTTGTAATTCGCTTTGAAATTGGCCTCCTTATAAATAGGCCAATTTTTCTTTTTCTAAAAGAGAAGAATGAAACTCAATTTTATTATTAGATGTTTTGAAAGGACAAATTTCTTAATTTTATGATGATAGAAGACATTTTTTCGAAAAATTATAATTTTTCTGATGATAAAAGGATTTTTCCAATAAGAAAATTATAAATTTTCCTAGAAACATTAGTTTTTTTAATTAAAAAATAGATCTTTAAGTAGATCTAATTTTGTTATAAATTTTAATTTATTCTATTGAATTTGATTTAATACAAAAAAATTTCATTTCTTTGAGGAAAATTATTCCTTTCAAATAAATTATTTAATTCGAATACGTATTATTAGTTGCTTCAAATAAATATTATTTCGCTCAAATAAATATTTAGTTGCTTCAAATATATTATTTCATTCAAATAAATATTTATTTGCTTCAAAAACAATTATTTAGCTCAAAATTAAATTATTAATTTTTAATTTATTTCCAAATGAAATTTATTTATTCTTCAAAAATAAATATTGATATTTTTGTATCAAAAACAATTTTTTTTATATGCGTCATAAAATATGTTCTAGGCAACATTTTTATTTGTATAAGCAATTATAATAATTTATTTGATTTAAATAATAATTGACTCACAAAATAAATATAGAAGTCAGTAAATTTATTTATTTTTATTTTATGTATAATGAAATTTCATTACATTCAAATTAAAACAAAATTCATTTGAAACAAATAAAAATATGTTTAATTAGCATCCAAATAAATAAATTTCTTTGAAAATTTGTTTAAAAAAATAAGGAAAAAAAAATTTCTGGAACTTTAAAAACCTTATACATAGCATAAAAAATAGTAAATTAAAAAAAATATTGTCTACTTTTAAAATTCCGCATTAAAAACTAGTTTTTTTAAAATATTTTTAAAAATATTTTTTGGAAAATGTTGTTTATTTTTTTAAATATTTAATTTGGTAGCTAATATATTTAATTTAATAAAGAAAAGTAAAAAATATCCACGACGGAAAACTTATTTTTAGTATTTAAAACTTTTTATTTGAAAACGAGAAAAACATTAGAGAAAGTATTTTTTTTTAAAACGAAAAATATAAATTAAACAATCATTTTTGTTAACAGAGAAAATCTTTTGAGAGTATTTTTTCGATTAAAAAAAATCTATTGTTAAAATGTTTTTCGTTTTCACAAATAAAAAGTTTTTAAAAATATCCGTTAGTTGGTACAAATTTTTTCAAAAAATTACTCCGGCATATCAAAATCGAAAATCTGACATATTTTGCAATTTATTCTTTTTATTTATTTATTTGTAAGCAACAATATTGTCTTAATAAAAAGTGTAAATTTTCTTTAATAAATAAATACAATTATAAACATTTCATTCATTAAATACGTGAAAAATAAATTGAAGACAATTTTTCATTTAAGTTACTGATTAAAAAATTGCTGCGTGTAAAATTTATTTTGCATTTTATTTTGTCTTAGCCGTATACATCAAATAAGGAACATGCGATTGTTGATGTTCATTGTATATTGTTGCATATAAAGTAGTTTAACCTAAGAATAATGACTCGACAATTTACCTTAATATGGTAAAAATTAATTTGCAATTTCAATGTCAGTGATAATCTTTTTGTTATTGTTATTATCAATGTAAATAATGATAAACGTGTAAAAAGAACCTGCAAAATTTTAAAATATAATACTTTTGAAAAAATTGTATTATTTCTATTTTGTTTTACTAATTTTTTCTTATAAAAAAAATAATAACGTGTGCGCAATAACAGTGACAATTGTTTTGAACATGCATCATTCGAGTATCGCGAGAAGCTTCTATAGATATGCTTCTCGTGATTCATTTATCAAACAATAAATTATTACACAGCTTTTAAGTTTATATTTACAATTTTTTTCTATTATTTTTATTTTATATTAAATAATATTTGGGGACATTTATATTAAAAGTAAAATAAACAAATTAAAGAATTGTAATTTTTTTTAAATTGCTACAATTCTGCTTTTTGTCAATGGATTATTTTATCTTCTTAGGTTTTCGAGTATTTTTTATAATTATTTTTATTTATTTACCATTTTTACTTTTTTTTTTGTATTTTTTATAATTTAATAAAATATTTAAATGGCATTTTGGTCTCTTAAATTTATCATCATTACACTGGAAAAAATTGATTTGATTTAAATAATACATTACTTAAAAACTATAAAATAAATATTTAGGTATAATAAATACTAATTTACAATTTTAACTTGAAAAAATATTACTTGCTTCTTGAAATAAAATATTATTTACATCAAATAACTACTGAAATAAAATATTTTTTGCTTTAAATAATTATTACAATGAAATATTATTTGCTTTAATTAGAGAAAATTTTTTTTGTTCAAGTAGAATATTTGTTTGAATCAATTGCGGAAATTGTTTCCAAGTAAATATTTATTTCACCAGCCAAGTAATCGATTAATTACTTGAAAATATTTTTAATCTACAATCCGAGATTATTTTTTTCTGATTTCGCATAAAAAATAAGGAAACACGTGTTTTTTTATTTTCCCATTAGATAAAAACTAGAAAAGTTATAATTTCCTTGTGGCGCCACCTATTATTTCAATATGATGTCGATTCTGTAAGAGCGACAAAATTTTATGTCCAGTGGGGAAAATGGTGATAAACCACTTTCTCCAAAAGATTGACATTTTTATTCATCATTTGTTCTTATTCTCAAGAAAAAAAGTAATATTATTTCGATAAAATTCAATGCAAAATATAATTTTCAAAAAAACAGTAATAAATTTTTATACTTTCTGTAAAAAAATACGGTTTTAAGTTACAAACCAAATGAGAAATTGTCACAACAGGAAAAACGTGTACATTAAGGAAAACTTTGGAAATCTGTTTTTTTAAAGTAATAATACAAATCAATTATAAATCAAACGACTCCAGCACAGCAATTGTGTCGTTTTTAATTTAAACAATTACATTTGACAATTAAGTTGATAATTTAATTTACTTACCAAAAAGCAACGATTTGACGAAGAGCTCTTGACCGCTGGAATAATTATTGACAATACGACTCTTTACTATTTACCGATAATGAACACTGGCAGCGCTACAATCGCATCACGTGACTGTTATTTAAATTTAAATTCCACAAAATTTAGAATACAAACTCTAAACTTTACAAAAATTAATCAATAATTATTATTTATCATTAATTACGGATGTTAATAATCAAATTGTAATAAAAAATAAATATTCTTCTGCTGTTTGCATGAAAAAAGTAATTGATTACATTTTTAGAACAACTGTCTAAATTCGAATTAGTAAAAATGTTGAATAATTTGAATTAGTGACTGACTTTTTGCTTTTAAATTAGTAATTTTACAAATAATTTAGTAGAAATCACTATTTATTAGTAAAATTTACTAATTCAAAAGCAAAAGGTCAGTCACTAAGTTTCTTTCTTATTTGTTATAATGAATGCTTATCATATAAAAGTTACGTGATAAGGGTCGTAGGATGGTTTTATTTAAAACTCACAGCCATAAGTTATTATAGAATTCTTAAGTAAGCATGAATCGATTTATTCATGTCACTATTGTGACATCAGTTTCACTTGTATAAAAAAAATTGTTTGTTCTTTTCTATAAATATAACCAAAAAAAAATAATGAACTATAGATTTTATCAGAATTGTTGTAATTTTGAACGTAAAAGTTCAATTCAATTTAATACCATATGCATGCGTATCTCTAAAAATATATATCTAAAAATAATATCTAATCGCGAGCTATATTGATTTTCCTTCAAATTTGTAAATTTATTTGCTGACAATTTGGATATAAATAAATATTTTTCTAATATTCAATTACATTCCTTTTTATATTACATTTATATCTATTTGTTTCCTACTAACTATATTTATTTTATTTTTATATTTTTATTAAAAGAAATGTGACGCACTCCGAACAAAGGTGCTTAATAAGCGAAAAATTGTAGGTTATGTTTGTAATTTTCGGAATGAAAACGCCCACAAGGAGAATCAATTCTCAATATATAAACTATAAGGATTCAAGTCTTTATTACATCAAAAATTATTAATAAATTATTAATATAAATTGATTTTAATTTTTAAATTAAGCACAGATAGTTTTAACTAAGGCAAAAATAACACAAACATAACCTTAAACCTTCTTCGGAGCGCGTTACATTTATATATTAAATATTATTATTATTGACTTATTAACCTTGACTTGGAGTGATCGTTAACTTCAATTTTAATTATTTATAAATATTAATAACAAAAGAAGAAACTTGAATATACAAACATAAAAATTGTTTTTAATTTAAAAGATCTTTAAAAAAAAGTCCATAATTGTGTTGAATTAATATAATATATTCGAAAAAAGTGCTTCATAATCATGATTGAATAAAAAAAAAAAACGTTTTTGTATAAAATAATCCGATTATCATTGTATCAAAAAATGAAATGCAAATGTATCTTGGAATTATAATATAATTAATCATGATTAAAAGCATCCCTACAAAAATAAAGCGCACAACTATAGTCACTTTGTCATAATTATATTATCGATTGAAACCTTTGTTTAACAAAGTAATATTAGTTTGAAATTAAAACATCATTATAGAAATTAAAATTTTAAAAAGAAAAAAAAACATTACTAGTTCTTTCTAAACATTTCTATATTAAATAAGTATTTTATTTCATTTAGATTTAATTAATACATACTTTTTCATGAAACTTTTTTAAAATTATTGTTTGGTAATTATTTTCTTACACTGTTAATAAGATTTTTCGGGTGAAATTTTT